AGGGCGATCTATGGCCGGATGCAAAAATCTGCCTGCTAGGGCGGAACGTGGATCGCTACATGACTATACATGACTGGTAGTTGCTGCGGTTTGGAGATTGGAGTTCAGGAGTGGTTTGGAGGAATCATGCCCCCGTAGCTGGAAGGTAATAAGGCTCACAGCTTAAAGTGCAGCGTGTAGCATTCTTGTCAGCACCTCTTCAAGGTCAGGTCTCTGTGCATCCAACATGTGCTTCTAGCGGATCCTGTAGCGGATACCCAGGACTTTGGTGTCCTGGCATGTTCTTCACAAAGTAAACGGCGCCTCACAGCAGTTCAAGCAAAGCGCATTCGCTGATTTGGTAGTGCAGCAAGAGTGGCCACCATGCTCCAGCCAGCTGTCAAGCTGACATGAAGCTTCGCTGCTCCTCCCACAGTGCCTACTCTGTTCAAGAACATGACAAACCACAAGGTTTTCTGTCACGCATTACCTCCATGTATGATTGAGCTGACTCAAACTATGCCGGAAAATTCTTGAAGTTGGGCACTCACGCTTATCCTGAAGTCTAAGTCTGCCGCGGTTCAGACACTTGGTCGCGGAAAATCAGGAGCTTTCGATCGGATGCTCCAAATGTTGGAAACTACACATGGCGAGAACCTCCCATTTGTTGCCGAAGCTGCGTTGAGATGAGGTCAACTTACCCTGGCGGCATCATTGCTGGACCCTAAACTCTAACCCGAAACTGAAATCCTAATGAGGTCCCTGCCAGGCTGCGGTCGCTGCAGTGGAGGCTCCAGGAATCGCATTGAGTGCCTCTGAGCCCACAAAAAGATCCTTGCACCCGAGGGTTTCGTCGTTCCCAGCAAAGAGATCGCGAGAACACCTTGGAGTTCAAATAGTTCTAGTCATCATCGTTGTTCGTCTACTGCGGATGTTATTGTACAGTTTTTTCCCTGGGGAGCGAATCGCGCAGCTGTCTATTGCATTGAGATTTGCGCAGCGGTGCCTAGTGTCAGAACCGGAAGAGATCATTGCGGGGTTCGTGCAGTCCGCATGTCGTGAATTCATCTGAAATTATGCAGTAAGGATTTCATCCAAACTCATGTACGTTTCACGGGTCTGGATTTCACGCAAGGCTCCCAAATCTAAAAACCCATCAGACCCGGTAGGATGAGGGTGTTTATAGATTTTAAAGCCTATTTACATGATCTGATTGCCCGCTCTAATCACGCACAGCCACAAATTGTCGTCAAAGCGTAGATGTCCGGAGTTATTGTCTCGCTTTTGCCTGTGTGGACGTTTCGTGAGTTCAGTTAGAAGCATGTAGAATGTAGAATTGCATCGAAAACTGTGGTCCTCGAAGGGAACGTTGTTTCGTACTTGTCTTGTCGCTTTGTCTCGCGGCTTCAAAGGTCTTTGCTGAGCTTGATGCAACCGCACCTGCAGGAGCGCAGCTGCCGCCTGGGCTTCGCCTTGCACCCCTACCGCGCCAGGCATTCACATTGCCAAGACCGTGAAGGGCGAGATAGCGGGTCGGACATTGCCTACCCCAGCTCCCCGAATTTGGGAGTAGGACGACAGAATTGCATTGCCTTCCGTACCTTATTGATAGAGTCTGTGCTTCCTGTATGATCGTTTTTTGTGTGCATCTTCCTGAGCTGGCAGGGTGGCAGGGTGAACAAGTCATACGAGGTTTGTACCTGCCAGCCATGTAACAAACCCAGCGAGCGAAGCCCATTCGGAACAGTTTTTTATACTTTTCGGATGGCTAGAGCGGCTAGCGCTGTTATACTGAGTCATACTGCTAAAGTTCAGACTTTCAAGGGCCTGGAGTGAAGACAGTGGCGCAAATCGCACAACAGAACAGAGCTCGCCATGTAATGTGCACAAACAGACTCGCAAGACACGTGAAGACACAGCAGCAGGTTTGCTGTATTGTCAATATCATGTGCTCAACCGTGCCCAGAAGTGCCGGTCGCTGCAGGCCCATGCTCTGCAGATCCGGGTGAGTGCTGTTGGACCTTTGACTCTGTAGTGTGCCAGAATCAGCATCGGCCGAGACCGTGACCTTCGAAACTTGTTAGCAAGGATGGTGCTTAGCGCCGAGTAACGCTCCAACTCTGTGCTTTATCGGACACTATGCCTCTTGAATCGAAGTCGCCAGCTGAGTACTAGCATTGCCTTGACAATGACCTGACCAGTATGTGCTACCTGCAACCATCCCTGGAGACTAGGTGCTTAAGCTGGCCTTCGCTAGGCTACGGAGGACGCGCTGGGAGAAATTCGGGCCGCGTCTGCAAGCAGCGGCCTGCGCGTGCTGGAGCTCGGTGTCGGCCGGGCATTGCAGGGCCGATCCGCATGTGTTGTGTATGTATGGGTATATCTATCTATCCATCTATCCATCTTTCTATCTCTCTCTCTCTCTATATATATATATATAGATATCCTAGGATGGATGGATGGATGGATGGATGGATGGATGCTTGGGTATGTGTATATGTGTGTACGTTTGTAATTAAGTATGTATGTACGTATGTATGTATAGCTAGAGAGGAAAGTACGCAGATGGATGGATGGATACAAATGTAGGTAGATAGATAGATTGATAGATAGACAGATGGATAGACAGACAGACAGCTAGCTATATAGATCGGCCAGCGAGTAGGCAAATGGTAAGATTGGTTCGCAGATAGATGAACGGGTGTCCAGAATTCGCATTGGCAATGCACTTATATTGACGGCACATCTTGGGAGCATAGGATGCATGTAGCTCGGCGTACATAGAAGAAAGACTGTGCTGCCAGCCCAGAAAAACTCCTGGGATCAACTTTTGCATTGCAGGCTTCGCGTCACTTCGCGCGCTGCTGAAATTACGACGTCACCATGTAACTCGGGCCCGCAAAGCCAGGGCCCTGGCCTGGCGTGATACTGTGATACGTGTGATAACTGTGTTCCTCTGGGACGCTTGCTGCAGGGGGCAGAGATCAAAAAGCAAAGAGGGATCACACTTTAAATGCGAAGGGTTCGATTTACAGGTAGAAAAAGATCCATGGCAAAATCAGATCTAAGTCAAGGGTCAAGGGCATCTGGCTTCTTGGCTTCTGAGCCGTGTCTTGGCCTATGGGCCCCTTAGCTTGTGTGCTTCTGGCGTTCTGGCTCTCCGGCTTGGTTGCTTTCTAACTTTTTGGCTTCTTGGGTTCTCGGGCTTTGATGGCTTCTGCCTTATTGGCTTTTTGTTGAGAAGCACAATCCTTGTGCGCATGGACATGCAACGAAGTAGCTGAGCAACCGGAAGCCACGTTGCTCGAGCTACGAGTTTTTCGATCATAGCAGATCTCGCTATGGCAGCCTGCAGTGCCCGCGAGGTCGATCGGGCCATGAAAATTTTGGGCTTTCTCGAAGAGCCGGTGGCCCTGGATGTCTATGATGCTGGCTATGAGTGGGTCCGGCATATGCTGCTGGAGGCTTGGGTCGAGACCAAGGCGGACGACCGCTGGAAGATGGGCCCTTTCGTGGATCTCCTTACTAGTTTGAAGCTAAGGACAGGCGAGCCCATCCAGACTGCAGTTCCCCAAGGCGGTCACCAATCTCTTCGCGATGCTTTGGTTGAGAAACCGTCGCATGTCAGGGTCATTCAGGACAGGGCCATCTGGCTGGCGGCTTTAGCGCCCGACTGGGGTGCGGTGCAATTCAGCCTCCGCTTCATACTGAGCAATGTGGATTATCTGATCCAGGACCCAGTGCTGTTGCATTGCTTTTGCCTACGAGTGCACCTCAGCGGTGACATGTGCACGTTGCTCTAGCCGTTTTCTCCTGTTGCCTCTGCCGGTTTAGGCTCGGCATGGCTGAATAACTTTGGAGGACCCTTAGACTGCGGGGCTTAGCGCCTTATGCGCCCGATTTTGTGCGATGCAGAGTGCTTGCAGTGACGGAGATCCCCCTGAGGGCCGACGCTCTCCTCAGGGAGGGTGTGCCTTCTTGGGCTATCGAGTTGGCTTCCCGGGGGCCGCAGGGGACAGTGGATGCTCGGCCTGCTCGGGAGGAGTCTCGGCGCGCAGACTTCCCTCGACAGCCAACCGTCAGACGAGCGCCATGGAGGCCGCGAGACCCGAGAACCGACAGAGAGCGCTTGCTGCCTTGGATCAGGACGTGCTAGCTTCAAGCACAGTGTCCTCCAACAGCTGCGGGGTGCGGCTTTACGAGTCGGTTTGCCGCACGTGGGGCGTGGAGCCGTGGCCACTGTCTAGGGAGAGCACCAGGGCTTTTGGAGCATGCTTGAAGGCTGGCGCTTACAAGAGCGTGGCTGTGTATTACAGTGCTTTGGCGAGCCATCAGCTGCGGACGATGTGGCAGGCCCCGAGCCCTGAGGTACAGAGGTGCATTCAGGACACGCGAAGGGCAGTGCTTCGCGGGGCGGGGCCATCCCGCTTGAAGGATCACTTCCACGTTCCGGTCCTTCGACAAGTTTTGCGCTGGGATGCGGAGCCGGCCCCATTCGATGGTCAGGACCCTCACCACATGGCGGAGGTCCTGTTGCTCAGCTCGTGTGGTGGATGCTGCGCGAAATCGAAGCATCTAATGCACAGGTGGGCCACGTCACCTTCAACGAAAAGCTTGGGGAGGTGACATTGATGTTGCCGGTGCAGAAGTGTGATACGCGGGGATTGTTGTGCTGCCGTACTCTGCGGTGCGCATGCCGGGCGGCACAGCAGCTTCTTTGCCCATTCCATAGCATGCGGCGGCATATGCTGCGCTTGGCCGAGCTGGGGACATCAGCTACTTCCACACGTGCACCCCTCTTCCCGAACCAGGACGGTGGCGTGATGAGCAAGGAGGAGTTTATCCGATGCGCTCGGACGACCCTACAGGCCTGCGGTGTCGAGCTGACGCGAGAGTTCGAGGGCGTCGCTCTGCAGAGGTTTTCTGGTCACATTGCCAGGGTTTCGGGGGCGCAGTGGCTGCACAATCTTGGAGTGCCGATGCAGATGCTACAGGTCCTCGGACGGTGGTCGAGTTTGACCATACTCAAGTACCTGCAAGGGGCCCCGTTGCAGACCCTTCCGGAGACGGCGGCGTGCGCCTTGAACCCAGGACCCATGGCGGCTCGGAAGGAGGCTGCCTGGTTGCTCATCCCAACGCCGGCGGCCACGGGGTCGGGAGATGCGGTCACCATGGTGTCGGACAGCGAGGAGGACACAGCTCCGCAACAGGCTAGGAAGCGTCGGAGGGCGCGTGGAGCCCCGGCGGGTGTAGCCACACAGTCGGGACAGGATCCCACAGACGGGTGCGAGGGCGGCCGGCAGCTCTGAGGAGATGAGCCAGATCCGGTCGGAGCTGGCGGTGATGCAATCAGCTTTGGAACAGCTCAGGGACAAGGAGACGTTCATTGTTCAAGGGCGGTCTCGGCGGCATCACGTGATTGCCGTGCCGGAGGCGGCAAACCCTCCGGCCGCTTGGACCACGGTTTGCGGCTGGCGGTATGGCTTGAGCCAGTTTTACAGAGGCCGCCGATGTTTTCATATCGATGGCGCGGGATCAGAGGAGTCCAGTCGCGATTCAGAGGGGGATTCCGATGACAGGTCGAGCTCAAGCAGCTCTAGCTCGTCTTCCTCCGACTCTAGCTGAGATCGAACGAGACCGCAGCCTGGGGGCGCGCGGGTGTGAAAAGCCTGAGCAGTCGGATGCCACAGTCAGCCTTTTGCTTTCTAGAGTCGTGTCGGTGTGCGTCGCTACCCGCCCGCTCCCGCCAGGACTTGGACTATGTCACATGGGACTACGGCGACCTTGGCAGGCAGATCGCTTCGTCCTTTGAGAGGGCACAGGAGTTCCATCGTTGGAACGTAGGAGTAGTTAGGTGGCATGCCATGGACTGAGTTTTGACTTCAGGCAGGACCGTTCTGGATCCCGGACGTGGGAAGCTGCTGAGAGGCCTCCAGTTGTCGTAGGTGTTCAGTGCTTGGGCGGGGTCTGGACGGGGTCGATAGTCGTGCGCGACAGCCCGACCGGAGTCGGGCGGTCGGACCTTTTGTTGTGGACATGTGGGTGATGGGATATTTATGTCCTGAAGCCAGGGGCTTTGGCGCAGCCCAGCGGGTGGCAACGCAATCGAGCTCCCAGAAACCGGAGTCTCGTACATACCAAGCCGCGACCTGAGACCGGTTTGTGCGGAAGTCGCGGCAGCCGGTTGTGCAGTGAAGACAGTGCTTGAGCGACGTTTGCTTCACTGACGTTCGGGCTCGAAAGGTACGACAGAGCCCATGCCCTCAGGAGTCGTAGTCGCGTTCATGTCACATGTTTCATTTCTCTTCTCTCTCTTTGCAGGCTTACACTTGCATGTTTTGCGCCAGAGTTGCTTTAGTTCGGGGTCTCATGTCACAAGTTTCCTGTGGGACGATGGATGACTTAGCGAGGCAGGCAGGGGCAGGCGACACCGTGCGAGCCTACCTTCAAGCTCGTGGCATACTGTCTGTGGGGACCTTGGCTATGGTGGCGAGGGACGACGCTTCCTATGAGTCTACAATAATCGAGCCGTTGCTTCGTGGTTTTCCGACAGATGGAGGCATGCTTGAACTGCCGGAAGTTGAGCAACCAATTGCGAAAGCAGTGTTGCTTTACATGTGGAACCTGGCTAGAGAAGCAAGGGCCGCAGCGATCACCCCTAGCCCGTCCAGCGCTCCTTCAGGACCTCCAGCTTCGAACTCTTCCACGACAGGGTCTTCCAGGTCTGCGGAGGAGAAGGCGCCCAAGACGCTGCCTCCTAAGGTCTGGCAGGAGGCTGTGGCCAAGTACAATGCCGTCTGCGTCGGGGGCGTTCCCCGGGAGTTTCCCATCAAGAAGTTGGTGGGAGCGGAAAGCGTCTTAGCACGCTTTCACCGGGAGCACGTGACCAGCAAAGCATATTCTCCGCTCGAGTTGGGGGAGCTGATTTCCAAACGTAGCTTCACTGCCACGGGCGGAGTGAACCATCTGGCCGCCAAGAAGCGGTCTACTCGCCTGGAGTTCGACGGGGAGTCACTTAGGTCTGCAGATGAGACAACGTGGGAGCCCCGCTCCCTCTGGGCCGTGGTCGACGGCTTGGACGCCGTCAGGTGGTGCCACATCCTCTTCGAGGTGGGCGAGGAGAGACACGAGATGACCCGGCGTGCACGCGAGCGACCAGACAAGATCGAGATCTTCCGCGAGTATTACGCTGCGGTTTCATGGAGCATCTGCATGGCGATGAGGGTCAACAAGACGTACAAGGAGGCGAGTGATGCTATCTTGGCTGACGTGACCATGTGGAACGAGTACATGGCCCGCAACTCGGGGCATATAAGGGAAAGGCCAAGAACAGCAAGGACAACAGCCTTGGCGGCAGTGGCAAGCTCCGAGCTCCTGGACTCGACCTCGTGGCAGCGACAGCAGAGGTGGCGTGGCGAGGAGTCCAAGCAAGACGAGTAGGGACAGCTCGGGGCCTCGGGTCCGGGTGGGGTACCCGGCCCAGTTGTGGATACAATCGTTTCAGACTCGCCAGCCAGCCATAGGAGCCGGCACAGGTTCTTTCGAGATTCCATCCGATGAGCGGGGGAAAGACAGAGCGCCGAGCCGGGCGGTGGCGGCACCATCGCTTCGAGCCCCGCGCCTGCCGCAGCCAAGACTTCAGCCTCGGCCAATCGGCCCTCCTCAATGCTGCCTCTCAGGGGGGATTCCGCGCTTCCTGTTCCAGTGCCAGGTCTGCAAGGCTGCGGCGACGTCATCTTGCTCAGTTTCTTCGATGGCATAGGCTCGGCCTCGCTGGCCCTCGAGTCCTTAGGCGTCAGAGTTCGGGCCACCATGGAGTGGGAGATCGACCCATGCGCCATCGCGGTGTCGTCCAAGGTGTCCCGTGGCCTTCGCATGAAGAGGGGCAATCTTCTTCATGATGATCCAGGCGTGGTGGCCACCATGCTGCAGGACCTTCTGCGAGACAAGGAGTCATTAGTGCTGGTGACGGCGGGCCCTCCGTGCCCAGATTATTCGAGGCTCAGTGCTACCTCACCCGGCAGAGAGGGTGACTCTGGACAGCTTTCTGTCCGTTTCGCGGAGTTTCTTCAGGCTGTCGAGGCAAAGGTCCAGAAGAAGTTTCACATCCTCATCGAGAACGTTCTCCTTCAGAAGAGCACAGACCTGACCTGGTTTAATCGGGCTTTGGATGCTCAGCCCGTGGTGGCCGATGCTTCGAGCTTTGGGATGATCAGCAGGCCTCGTACATGGTGGACTCGAGTGAATTGGGCAGCGATGACCACGCATCCTTACCAGCCTGACCAGCAGCTCAAATGGGACAAAGTGGATGGTCTCAGCCGGCTACAGTCATTAGGCATTTCGAAAGATCTGCCTGAGTCCTTCACGATGCCAGGTCTCAGCTTTCACGAGGACATTAGCAGTGGCAAAAGAACTTTGCCATGCCTGACGACTCCTGCCCCATCCGATGAGGGGCGACCAGCCCCGAAACGTATGAAGGGCAAGCTTTCAGCTGCAGTGAAACGCAAGTGGCTGGAGGGCACCAGCCAATATGCCCCGTGGATGTATGAAAATCATGCTTTAGTCTACGAGGCCAATGGCTCAGGTCAGTTGTTGCCGGCTGAGCTGAAGGAACAATTACATCACTACCCGTCAGGTTTTACGCGACATGAGAAGGTGTCGCCACGTGATCGTCATCGCCTTTTGGGCAATAGCTGGCATCTTGGTGTGGCCAGGTTCATGCTTGCTTTGGTTTTGCTGCATGGGTTTGCTTCTTTGAAACCGGTCGCGGCTACAGATCTAGAGTCGGTCATGCAGGAGGCTCGCGCCAGGGAGATTCCAGTCACAGGGCACGTGCAGTCCTCTGATAGGGTTGGCGTGAAGCCAGCCTTTGACATGGATGAGCAATGGCAGAACAGTTTGAGCATAAGCCACCCTGTTCTTGAACCGCCAGTCTTGGAGGAGGCAGTGCAGAAAACCATGGCAGCCATTTTACAGGCAGGACCGGAAGTTCCAGAGTACAGAAAGAGGACCCTGGCCCTGTTACGTGAGTTGCGCGATCAGATGCAGAGCGAAACCGAAACATGGCATCGGGGCCTTGCCCCACATGTGGCTAGTGCATACACATATGATGGCAATAAGATCGTACAGATCCCACTGCTGTTGCGCCTGCTCCAAGGTTGTGGTTGCCCAGATTGCGAAGGTCTGGCCAGGGACTTGTCGTCTGGCTTCCCGCTTTTAGGCGAATTGTCCAGATCTCCAGGCTGGCAGTCCAGGACAGATGATTGGTATGAACATCCTATCAGCGAGGCGACGTTTGCAAGGTTGAACTCTCAGCACATCCGAGCGCGTACAGCGCGGAACAAGCCTGACCCAGAGTGGAGGACCATGCTTTCTGAGATCTTGGCTGAAAAGGACCAGGGTCTCATCGAGGGTCCATTCGAGGCTCACCCGAGCTGGGGCTTTGAGGCTGTCGGTGCGGCTGCCCATGACACTACAGGACTCCGGCCGTTGCCTTCGGGAGCCGCTTACGCTGCGTTTGCTTTTAGCGTAGTGCAAGAAGGCGCAGATGGGCGCCGGAAAGTGCGTCGTTGTGAGGACTACCGCCGGTCTTATCACAATGCAACAGTGAGAGCTCACGATAAGCCTCCACATGACAGCATTGACTCGTACGTCAGAGTGATCCTGGCTTGAGCGGCGTTGCACCAGAATCCTCAGGTGTGGTGCCAGGACATGCTGGGGGCTTATCGTCAATACCCGGTTCAGGACACATCACACGCTTACATGCTGCTTCAATTGCCTCATGGGGTGAGTGTTTGGCGACATAAAGTTTTACCTTTTGGCAGTGCTCCTTCAGTTTGGCATTTCAACAGATGTACCGATGCTCTGGTGTGGCTAGCTCGCTCGTGGACGTTGGTGCTGGCTTTGCATTATGTTGATGATGTTGGGGGTCCGGAGCCTGATTGGGCCGCTTCATCGTCGTGTGAGACGTTTCGTGAGCTTTGCGAGATCATTGGCATTCGGGTCAAGCCATCCAAAGAGCAGTTGCCTGCGGTTCTTCAGAAGGTTTTGGGTGTTTGGTTGTCCATTCATGCAGATCGACTCGAGGTGCGCCCGGACTCCAGTCGTTTGACTAAAGTGATTCACTCTTTACAGTCTTGCTTGGAAACCGATCAACTGCGTCCAGAGGAAGCTCATCGCCTGTGCGGTAAACTCGTTTTCTTGCAGTCTAGCTTGTTGGGCATGGTGGGTATGGCGGCGATGCACCCGCTGTACATGCTGTACGCTCGGTCCCACGGTGGGGCTGAACAATCTCTCGAGCTCAACCAAGGTCTGCGGAGAGCGATTCAGGCCGTCATCGCTCTGCTGGGCAAGGCCACGCCTCGCTGCATCCCCTTGAGAAGGGGAGGCCAACAGACGAGCATCGTGTATGCCGATGCATTCTTTAAGCTTGGTGAGAGAGCTTGGAAAGCGGGACACGCACAGGTGCGCCACTGGACGCGAGCTCCCGTGTCGACGCTGACGAATGGCTGGGGCTTCTTGGTTATAGGGCCGGCAGTGACATCACCGCCGGTCACGGACATCGTTTCGTGCTTCAGCTCTCGCAAAGCCTACATCTTCTTCTTGGGAGTGAATGCTCAACTTCTGGCACTGCTGGCCAATCGCGGACGTCTCGATTTATTCTGGGTGTGTTTTATTGATAACACTGCTGGACTCGCTGCTCTGGCCAAGGGTTTCAGTAAGGAGAGTGCTGTCAACAACCTTCTTGCTTTCTTTTGGTGCTTGTGTGCCGAGTTGGGATGGTTCGGCCACTTCGAGTGGGTGGCGAGTAAGCTTAATCCTGCGGATCCAGTGTCCAGGGCCGAGTTGCAATCTGCCATCAAGTACGGTGCCGCGTTCCTCCAAAGGGTTCCAGGCGGCTACTGGCAGCTCCTGCGACAGGTGGCTACATCCATGACGTTGCAACAGGCGATGCTGTGCAACAGGCCCTACAACTTGAGTTCTCCTTCGGTGGGTTTGAGAGGCCTTTTTGAATCCCGTCACGGTGCGGCGTAGGGGCTGTGACGGGCGGTTGAGAGTCACCACAGCCAGCCGCACGGGATTCATTTGATCAGAGGGCAGTTTTGCATCCTCGAAGACCACTCCTGGAAAAGAGCGAAGCTTCTCAAGTTATATATAGGCTCTTGCATACGCAGTATCATGTCGAGAGGCACAATCCTTGTGCGCATGGACATGCAACGAAGTAGCTGAGCAACCGGAAGCCACGTTGCTCGAGCTACGAGTTTTTCGATCACCCACCCTCCTCTCCCTTAGAAGGAGTCGGGTCTCTACGTTCCCCTCTCTTTTGAGTTTCGTGCGTTGGCAGTACAGAGTGGTTGAGAGTCACCACAGCCAGCCGCACGG